ATATTTTATACTTATAGAATAACCCAATTTGAACACTAAATTTTCATCAGAAATACTAGCTCAATATTTAGACTTCATAAAAACCATAGTTGTAATTTTTTTCCAAACATAATTAAATGTTTTTTAACAAATGAATAAAACATTAGTTTTTAGATTTGTATATAAATTAATTAAAGGAAATAAAATAAAAAATTCAGTTCCTCTGGCATATGAGCCACATTTTATATGCCCAATAACCATATTTGGCTACTATCTATTGAAAGGACAGTGTAGGACAGACCAAGAATAGCAAAAATATAAGATACATGCCATAATTTCTCCCCTTTTCTACAGAAGACAAATATCACCAATCGAAAAATCACAGAATTCTATTTCAATAAGCCCCCATCATGAGATGGTCTAAACATAGTATACCGTCTAACCAGAAAATTGATCAAAATCATTACAGAAGGTTAAATGTATTTACTGTGACTACTAGAAAGTATAAATTTTGGTTTAAATATGCAGATTCAACAGATGATTTTATCTTCTTATTTACAGTATTTTTAAATGTCAGTTTCAGTAGAATTCAAGATTTTTAAAAATGAAATCCATAGGTATGAATTCCTGTTCCTCAGGTACAAGTCTTTTTTTTTTTTCTTTTTCATTTGCCTTTTTCTACATGTTCTGAAAGTACAAGTCTGAAAAAAGGACATCATACAAACTTTTACAGCAAGAATATTCTTTATCATGTATTCTGTGGGACCACTTCTTTCTCATGAGCTACTTTGTATGGAGTGCATTGGTAACAGCTTCAACTTAGATTTTAGTACTTTTTAATCACAAAGAACATATGTAAAATGCATAAAGATAAAAAGTAGAAAATTGAATTATAGAGGGTAAAACAATCAGTTTTACCAGGTAACCACCCACCCTCATCCTATCCTATCCTAATGCAATCACTGGCCATTGAGGTAGTTACCTTCCTGCACTTGCAGGTTTTCATCATTTGATTACCCTGTGGGGTTGCCATGGTCCCCAACCTCTGGACCATGGACCAAACCAGTCCGTGGCCTGTTAGGAACTAGACTGCACAGCAGGAGGGGAGTGGCCGGCAAGAAAGCAAGGAAGCAAAGCTTCATCTATATTTACAGCTGCTCCTTATCACTGGCATCACCACATAAGCTCCACCTCCTGTCAGATCAGTGGCTGGCCTTAGATTCTTACAGGAGTGCGAACTCTACTGTAAACTGCACGTATGAAGGATCTAGGTTGTGCGCTCCTTATGGGAATGCAATGCCTGATGATCTGAGATGGAGCTGAGGCAGTGATGCTAGCACTGGGAAGCAGCTGCAAATACAGATTATCATTAGCAGAGAGGTTTGACTGCACAAATAAATATGATGTGCTTGAATCATCCCAAAACCATCTCCCCCCCCGCCCCGCCCCAAATCTGTGGAAAAATTGTCTTCCATGAAAACTGTCCCTGAGGCCAAAAAGGTTCGGGACCGCTGCTGGAGGGGATACTGCCCCAAGTACCCCAGCACACTTGAAGGCTCAAAGGGAACTCCCAAAAGGGTTCTGGAGAAGGGGTCTCACAAGTTATCTCAGGGTCAAAATAAGCAGGTTGAAATAAGCTGCCAGAGCAGGAGCACAGAGGTAAAAACACCTGCTGCAGTCACATCCCAAGCCAGTACGCAATAGCAATTTCAGACTCCTGAAGCAGTAACACAGCGTCTAATACATTCTCTTCTGGTATTAATAATTGGGGTGTTAGACATCACTGATCTTTCCTGTCAAATTTAATGCCCAAAGGATCAAATCTTGCTTAATATCTAATTTTTCATAGCTTATTTAAAGGTCTGATTCATTAAATCATACGTACTCTCAAAGTTTATTATACAATAAAAATATTTACATACCTCAAAGTTATGAGCTTTTAAAATAAAAAGATAAATTTGTTCAGCATCCAAATGTCTGGGTAGTTGAGTAAGCTCATTTGGTTTGAATCCTGTGAAGTTGCAACCCTAGACAGAGGGAAATATAATAGAATGGTAATTATTTCACTCCTCTCAGAATAGTAGTCTCATGTGACTACAAAAGACAGATGGATATTACTATCACTCACTAACATATTTATTTTACTTATTTTTACTAAA